TCAAGCTCTCAATATAAGCATGCTCATGTTCGCTAGGCTGTAGGTCACCCAGGCCTATTTTTGGCCACCTGCGCAAGAATGACGCGCGCAAACCAGAGGGTGCGGCAAGAATGACACGCGCAAACCAGAAGGTGCAGCATTCGAGAGAACCACGGATCGATGCGGGCCGCCCAGCACAAGCAAGGCATAGGAAGGCGGTTACCCTAGTAACCGTCCTTCTGATGCCCTAGTCTTTGACCCGACGACCGCTTGGCTCAAGCGCATGAAAAAGTGCGCGACCACAACGGTGGTCTGGCGGGCGTCACCTGGTCGCGGGTCGAAGGTTTCGTTCACGTGTTTGCAACCAGGTCCTTTTGAACGGTATCTCAACTGAAGTGAATCTTCATAGCTGGTGGTGGTGGTGGTCGTTGTCGGTTGTCGTTGTCGTTGTCGTGGTCGTGGTCGTGGTCGTGGTCGTGGTCGTGGTCCTGGTCGTGGTGGCGGTGGTGGTCGTCGTCGTCGTCGTCGTCGTGGTCGTGGTCGTGGTTGTTGTTGTTGTTGGTGGTGGTGGTGGTGGTGGTAGAGACTTGTACAAACGCCTTGTTTTGTGGCTGCTGTTGCTGTGGTTGTTCTTGTTCTTGTTGTGGTTGATGCTGTGGTTGTTGTTCTTGTTCTTTTTGTTGTTGTTGTTGCTGTCGCTGTCGCTTTTGCTGTTGTGGCCGGGGTCGTGGTCGTGGTCGTGGTCGTTGTCGCGGTCGCGGTCGTGGTCGTGGTCGTCGTCGTGGTCGTCGTGGTGGTGGTGGTGGTGGTGGTCGTCGTCGTCGTCGTCGTTGTTTTTGCTAATGCAATGTAACGTAGTGTAAGGTAAGGTAAGCAGGGTGTGGTAGGGTAGGGTAAGGTAAGGTACGGCAGGGTAAGGCAAGTATGTATGTAATGTAATGTAATGCAATCCAATGCAATGTAATGTAACGTAATGTATTTAATGTAATGTAACATAGCCTATGTAATTCTGTATGTGTGTAGTTGTAATGTAACGTACTGTATGGTAATGTATTGTAACATGTTGTAATGTATTGTAATGTATCTTAATGTAAAGTTATGTTATGTTATGTGATGTACGGTGTGGTATGATATGATATGATATGATATAGTATGGTATGGTACTGTTTGGTGTGGTATGTATGTCTGTATGTCTGTGTGCATAACCCCATGAAGCTATGCGGTCTGGCGGGAGGTGTATGGGGACGCTTGTACATGTACCGGCTTTTCGATTTTCTTGCCATTCTTTGTGGTCTGGTAGAGTTTTAGAACCGCGTGCCATTCCTTCTGGTCTGGTGGAGAGCATTTGAAACGTGGAATCCTTTGGAACTTTGAGATTTGAACTTGACTTTGGTTTGAGCTTGAAAGGCAATCAAATTATCTTGAGTGTGTCTCTCCTCGTGAGAGCCCGGAGCGAGCCCCAGGTAGCGCCCGTGGCCCCCATCGAACTGGGGGTGAAGTCGTTGCGCGCAAGAACAGCACGAGTCTGTAGCGGACAGCAGGAGCCAGCGGTGTGTTGAGACTTGAAGACTTGGTGCCAGAAGGTGTGCGCTGTGGAGAGAAGGCGCAAGCGCTACGCAAGGCAAAGTAGGCCACAGCAACTTGAGATCAAGCGGTCTCAGCCGGACCCTGAATAACTTAACGCACAGCAGTCTTTACGCACTTAACCAGGCTAGTTCGCCCAAGTCTTTTGATGAGGTTTAGGTCTTGTATTGTTTGTCCCTTTCATCTGGTTTCCCATCATCTGCAACCACACACTTTTGTTGCCCGTCTTTTCCTTCATGTCTCTTCCGTCTTCGCATCCTTTCATCTCATGTCCTTTGTTCCTGTGCACATCTGCCCCGGCCTTAGTGTGCGCGTGCGCTTTTCCTGCTCTGTGAAACTAGGTTTTCAGGCGCCCCGAGTGCCATGAGGTGTCGCTGAATAATATTAATATACATAGTGGAACTATTTCCATTGAAGTACTTTTTTGTGAACAGCCATATATATATACACACATAAATGTCGGTTTTAGTTTCATCTAAACAAGTACAGTTTAGAGATATTCAAACATGTTTCCAATCTATTACTATGTATACAATTTTTGTGTAACTAAAGAACCGATATTTGGAAAGACTGAGTTATGTTGGATATTTTCTGCTTCAGCTATACCAACTGTGAATGTATTTATGATGAACTTAAATGTTTCTTGTATGACTAATATCTATACAGTTACCATTCGTAAAATAAAGTAATAGGAAGTAGTACTTGCACCGGTTTGCAATATTCTTAAACAGTTTGTCTTAATATTAATATAACGATTCAAAAATATGAAGCTAACGCAGTATATAATTTGCTCTTGAATAGAGCCTAAGATGATTGACAAAGCAATTGGGCGTCATCACCTTAAAAGATCGTGTGAAAATAGCGCAGGATTGGTCATACCGTAGGTCTACTGTAGGATCCTTGGCCTTCAAGACTTCTAGTTAATGCTTGAAAAAGAACTCGGGCATGATTACCCTAGAAAGTTTATGCGAAAGTAGTGCAGGATTGATCATCGGATCCTTTATCATAAAGACTTCGAGTAAGAAGAGGCTCCTGGTAGAGAAGCAACAATGTCAAAATTGTCCTAGAAACGAGTGTGTATTCACTTGATAGAAAGTAGGCCAGGATTGATCATAGGATCCTTCACTAAAGATTTCTAGTAAGAACAGATCTCTGGCAAAGAAGCAAGAGTACAGTATCAACATTAATCTAGAAGCATAACATTCGCCCACATTGCTTCACTTCGAGTGATCGCCACCATGACATTTCAATCTCACAATTCTTTGGCATTCTTTCTGGCATATCTTCTGACATTCTTTCTTGCACTTTTTCTGGCGTATCTTGTGACATTTTTTTCTGACATTCTTTCTGGCGCTCTATCTGGAATATCTCCTGACTCGCGATTGAGGTCCGGGGAACACTGTCGTCCGGAACTGGCGGTTGAGGTCCGGTGGGGAACGCTGCCGTCCTACACTGCACTGCCATCCGACACTCGCGGTTGAGGAGGACGAGAAGAAGGAGAAGGAGAACCAGAAGGAGAAGGAAAAGGAGGAGGAGGAGGACGCGGAGGAGAACAGCGAGGCACCTTACATAAAATCTAACAACCTGCGCCTTCACCTGACAGGTGGGGAAATGTCACTAGACTAGTTAAAGTGCGACCAACATTGTCCCCCTAAATGGTTAAGATTGTGAACAAGAACTTGTACATGATCACCTTAAACGTTTCTGTGAAAAGTAGTCCAGGATTGATCATAGAACCCTTTTTCATAAAGACTTCGAGTAAGACTAAGAAAAGGTATCTGGTAAAGAAACAAACGCCTTTTGTGCCCCAAGAACTTTTGTGGTACACGCCGGCGCGCTCCACTCACGTTCATCGTTCTGGACCGGGGTTGGCGGATTCCCTTGTGGTGCCTCCAGCCCATGGGCTTATGGGGCCGGGAAAAACCGCGCTTGTGTAGGTCAAAGACTTGCTGAAACAGAAGTACCACGGGCAACTTGGAGTGCCTATGTGATGCGGCCGGCAATGGCGAAGAACTCAGCCTCCTGTTGGATCTGACGGAGTACCTGCAACGAGGGAGGAACAGGAACAACTATTTGGTCCAACAGTTGAACTTGTTGATCGTGTTGATTGTGCACAAAACATAAACTGTGTACAGATTGCAAAACTAGATTAGGACAGACTTTACTGTTTTAGTTTGTGGATATATCATATTTCAAGTAAGTTCATCTCCTTCTGAGACCGGAACTGAGATCGAATCCGGCAATTGCACCGTCTGGTTTCTCAGAAACTCCTGGTGCTAGTGTCGCAGAACAAGCCGACCATTGAAATCGGCTTTGTGCGCTGCTCTTTTCAACATTCACAATTCAAACCATCTTCTGAGACGCGAGCGAAGAAACATTTGTAGATCAGCTTCTCAGCTTGCTAGCGAATTGACTGAGCTAAATCTTTGCAATTTTCACACCTAAGCATTGCTTGCTGCCATCGGAGCTCCAAGACATACCGAAAGAGCTGACCATCACGATCGATGAAATATGCGCCATCGATTTTGGTAGAGCTGTAGGTTCCATTAAACTTGGTGGCACGGCAAAAGTTAATGCAACAACAAGGGGAATGACAAGCTAATATTATTATCCTTTCACATATAATATTATATGGTCCCGGAAGCAGACAAATTCTGACACAAACTTTGGTGGACGAGGTTGCAAGTTTTACATAAGTAGATTTATTGGATTTGTATTGCTTTTGGCACCAACGTGTTTCCCCAGCACCTGCTGTCCAAGGCATTTTATGAAGGCATGGAGACATTTGCTGGACAAAGATGGTAGCAATCGCGTGAACTGGTCTGAGTTCCAAACGGCTTGCCAGAAACTTCGTTACCACGGCGACTGGGCAAAGAATTCGGGTCGCGGTCGCTGGGGTCCTTTGGGTGCTGCTTGTGAGCCACCGTGGCGGAAAAGAGGAGTTCTCGGGACAACAAACCCAGGTGCCGCAATGCGGAGAGCCAGCGACCCAAAGTGGGGGTTCGATTTGCACAGAAAACAAATTTGGACCAAAAGGGCGACATGACACAGGTGAAAAAACACCATTTGAGAGCCAACCCATTGCCGGTAAGGGTTCCTTCTCCACATTGAAACCGACTTTTTTGGTTCAAAAACCCAACGGGTCGGATTGAGACTAGCTGTTGGACGGTTGGACGCCAGATGAACCTCCATCAAGTGCAAGGGACTTGGTTGTCGTGATGGTCATGGTCTCACGGAACAGAGGTGAATGGATCATGGCTCGGTGAATCTGAAGAAGGGTACACTGGGCGCTGAGCAGGTCTTGCTCACTAAGTGTTCCCTTGCAACGTGTCACCACGACAACCCGGTATCATTTAGACTGCATTCACTTTGATTCTGAACTATGGCAAAGTTGACTTCGCCAAACAAGTAGAGCAACCGAAGGGTGATCCCTTTGCATGAAGGAGATGTGGCGGGAGCCTGGCGTGCGTTCGACAGCGACTTGAGCGGTTATTTGACGTTGAACGAGATCGACACCGAAGCGAGCGACACCTTATGCGAATTCAAGGACTGCTGGGAAGGTGGTTGACCTGGACGTCGAAGTATTCAGAACCGAAGAACCGGAAAACAATAGGATGGAGCATGTGTTGATGCGCTGCGGAGCAAGTTTGGCACGTATGTCCCGAAGAGGTTTTCTTGGTTCAGCAACATATGTTGGACTCCAACACGAAGGTCCTTGCATCCCAATCCACCCGGGGCCGCTTCATCTGGGCGCTGCGGGGGCCAGTGGATGTTGGGAAGGGTCCGCAAGTTGTGAACACCCCACAACCATCCACAACCCATTCACTGGAAAAAAACACACCCAGGGACTCGCAGGTCTTGTGTATTTCCCTATCAAACTAATAGGTTTGAGTCTCTTTCGAACAAAACCAGCAAAAGCTCGACCGTTTCCGTCACCTCTCTGTGTTTCGCTTCGAGGACTGGGCCTGGAACGAGTTCGGCACCGTCAGGCCGAGCGATTCCGCGGGCGTTTTTGTCGCCGCCGGGGCGACACCTCTCCGATCCAGTTCTACCCCATATGAGCTTCGGTGCCCTGAGGACCAGTTCTACCGCCATCAGTTCCACCCATGATCGGGTTCTCACCCGCACTTCTGGGGATGTTGGGGAACGAAGTGGGGGTACAGTGGGCACTTGGGTCAGCCCACAAGCCTTTGCTTGATGACCGACGGTTGATCACCGTTCAGAGATCCGCAACAAACTGTAACACGACCCAAACAGTGCCCCAGCACTCTTCACAGTATCAACCGGTGTGGCTTGGTCAAGAGGAAGCTGGCACTGCAACGCAAAACAATCCTCATGATGCCTCACATGGGGTTGGTGATGGTAAGTGTACAGAAATTGCGAGAAGCGGTTGCAACCTTTAGATGCAATGCCTGAAAACGTCCGAGATTTGCCCAGTTCATCGAAGCTGACATGCCAGCAGTTAACTACATGATGAAGAAACTGCATGGTTTTTGGGCTATGCCTCCAAGCTTTCTCCGTTTTGGCCTGTTGGTGGTTACAGACCTGGTGCGAAGTCGCGCAGAATTTGTGTAGATGATTATAAAGGTTTGTCCATGTGTATCTTGATTGAACTCTTGGCTGAAGGACGGAGTGCCCCCTACTCTCTGTTCGTAGTGTTCATTCGGAGATCAGAATGGGCTCCTGCTGAAAGCACTCTACACTTACTTGCAGTTTGTGCAACCCCAACCAATTTCTACTGGTTTCCCATAGCTCGCCACTGGACACCCTTTTTCAGCGGTGCGCAGTGTTAGCTCAATCTCATCAAGATCTCTGCCTTCTCCGCTTTTGACCTTCTATCCACCCAGCACAGGGCGGCTTTCGGCGTCTTCGACCATGACGGATCCAATAGCCTGTCCTTCGAGGAGTTCCGGGGCAACTGCCGCATCTATGGGTACGAGGCAGGACGTCGGTGTCACTGGTTTTTGGGACGTTGGATTGCTTTGCCCTTCACCCGGTGGAAGCTGGAGTGACCGTTGAATGAGTTCAGCAGTAAATCAAATGGCACAGTCCAAAACATGGACCTGTGGCCTAGTTTCAGTCACTTTTGTTGGATACAAAGACATGGATTTTTCTTTCCCTGAAACCCTTGAGCCGAAGGTAGGATTCCATCCCACGAACATCAGCGCCCAAACTGTGCGTGTTGTTCATCCAACGAAGGACAGCGAAGGCAAAGATGTCACACAAGTAGGAGCATGCCGGGCATCGCTATGAACGGAGCATGTCGGGCATCGCTACGGAACGGGAACCAGAAGCTACGCTGCTCGGGGGGCAAAAAGGCATCGCTACGAACGGGGGCAAAAAGGCCATCGACCCACCAGTTCGATGTCAGGATGCTATCCATGGAGGGTGCCGTCGGGGTACTCTCGGATGGGTCACAGAACTCCACGATCCAATGCGAGTCCGAACTCCAAGTCGACAGGTTTCTCCAGATGCCCGGGGCAACGCGGCACATAAAGAACACGGCAGATTCCTCTTTTTTTTTGCGGCTTGTCTCGGACATCGATGCAAACTTCCACAGCTTGGCAAAGCAAGAAAGAACGCACATCACTTGGTTTTGTCGTCAATCCACTCCACAGGTACGTCTTGAATAGGAAGGCACGTTTGCTTCGGGAACAAGAAACAACCACCTCCCAAACGAACACTTGGTGTTGCTTGGTTCTCTATTGAAAAAAACTTCCAAATCCACGCAGGTTGCATGAAACTGCTGACCTACCCCCTGAAATCAATTCCCTCAACTCCCTTGACCCATTTTCACCCCCGTTGACGAGAAATCGGACCTTTCACGTCCTGCACGTTCTTGCGCTCTTCGTCGTGCGAAGTCGTTCAGGGCAACGCTCGGAAGCTCTTCGATGCCTTGGACATCAATGGAGAGAGATCGCTGTCCATCAGTGAGATCGCTTTTTTGGATGACTGGGAACCTGGGCGCCAAACGTCGCACACGGACACCTGGACCTCCCCCTCACCCGCGGTAGGCTTCCGAGCGCCGAGCCTACCACACGTCGAAAGTGGAAAATGGCCCACCCTGTTGGTAAAATGAAGAGTAATCCAAGGGTCCATGCTATCCACTTCGAACGTGAGTCGGGGGGTATGTATGTGTTTTCGAAGGACAGCTAGCAAACTAAGCTCAGCCTCACCATCCGCAGTCACATGGATGCAGCTGCATTGGCTGACTGTTTCTGGATAAGAACCGGGACGTATTGTTCTTTTTGATTCCATAATAGATTTATATAGACATTTGAATAACATACATAATAGTTTTATCCAGGACATCCGACAGGAAAAGTGGATGTTAACCTTACCCAAGTAGAGGTTGCGCAGTGGATTTTCTTTTAGAACAATCCTATCATCCAAGTAGCAGCGAGTAAACTTGGGTGTTCCCTTTTGCATGCCTATACTAGTGTCCTCTGGAGAGGCCCACTCTCCTTTTTAAATGGACCAGCTCTGGCACTTTAGACGACAGTGCGGCCAATCAGGCCCACTGGACAGTCACGGAGGATTGTTGAAACCCGGAAATTCTCCGTCAAGTGGTCTCTGAACAACCCGAGGATATGGGAAAGGCCGAGGAGGGCGAAAAGAGTAAGACGGACAAGCGGAAGAGCCGCATCCGGCAGATGAACGAGTCTGTGAAGAGGCTGCGGTGGCCGCATTTCTCCATGTGATTGGGAGCTGCTGCTGTGGCCAGGGAAGGATGGCCTGGCTAGCATGGATGACCTTTATGACAGTTCTGGATCAGAGCACTTGACCTTTTTCTTCCACGGTGTTTCTGCCGTTTCTGCCACCCAAACCTGGCACCACCCTGCACGAGTGGTCTTTAGCTCTCCTTTCCACTTTCCACCAGCCAGGCACGAGAGCAAGGGTCGAGTCTCGCAGAAGCGTCTCACCGAGCTTCCGATGCGTTTGATTGCGTCCATCCGAGAGAACATGGGCGACCGCATGGACGAACTGGGACGATTGCAGAAGGCGCCTGGACCGTGATGGCACCGGTTCCGGGTTCCGTTGGTCATCGGTTTGGGGCCAGGTAGGTATATAGGTGGAGGAAACATATGCATCAATTACTGTGGTTTTACTGCATGTTGGGAACCTCCGCTGGAAGAAACACATGAAACAAACACTCTCCCGAGACCCAAAGGGTTCGTAGTACTCTACGCTACAAACTGGGTTTGTTTGGTTTGTTCCTGTGGTTATGACAAAAACTCGCGGTGCACGCCGAGCACCTCTTTCTCAAGCCAACACGAAGCGACAGTGTGTTGTTACGCTTATGGATCTGAACTCAAAGGCCTATGCCGCATATGCCTCTCAAGGAGGCATCAACAAAAGAGGAGGAGTTTCTCAATTCCAATTCCAGTTTGTTTACCTCAACGGTGACCGGCGACTTCCAAATCTTCCGACTTGCAGGAGCAGTTTCACACCCCACCAGGCTGATGCCCCGATGCCCCGATGCGGTCAGTCCGTCGATGGGTCGACCGCGGACCCAGGTGGTTCAGGTGAAGCAGGCGCTCCAGCTGCGCGCGGACCTGCCATTGATCCCTTTCCATCACTGGCCCATCAGTCGCGGCCACTGGTCCGGACCCACGACCCGCAGTTGGGCGTGTCAGGTTTGGAGCCCCGCAGTTGGGAGGATGTTTCTTTTTTGGGGCTGGTCACTGGAGTCGAAGAAAAGTACGGTTGCAGTCCTTCGGATGGACATGGACTCGCAAAAATGGTTTGTCAGAGACCCCACCACCGCAAATTCCTCAGCTGATTCATCACATCGGCATCTGTGAAATTGAGTGCAACCGAACGATGGTCTCTTCGGGAGGAAAACACATTTGTCTCTCCCATCATCCGCTTGGGAGTTTCGAGTTGGAGCCAAAGGCGGTGCTCGACCACGATGAACCTTCAAGGAACTGTTCAGACGCTTTTGATATCGTTGGATGCAATTCTTCATGTAAAACACTTGCGGTTCAGGGACACCACCCATGGAAAGGTCCGGGCTTTGTGGCCTTTGCCCAACCTTCAAATTGAGACTCTCACCGGTCGGGACTTGTTTTCTTCTCGCCTCTGACAGCGCGTTTTCGAGCTGCGCATCTCGACCGAGAAGCTCGGCGATGCAGACGACGGCGAAGCTCGCCGAGCTAGCAGTTGCTTTCGGACCGGTCCAAGGTGAGGAGGAAGAAGCTCATTGTCCATACCATTGCGAGCAGCGCAAGTGCCTGGGAAGTGATGCATTTCTCTCTGTCTCAGAGGAACAGGAGATGAAGATTCTTCACCCGAAGAACAAAGAACCGCCTGCAGATGCCGCTTCAGTCCGTGTTGTTTGGGACGTTGACGTTACCCTCCTAAAGACCAGGTTCTTTGATGTTCCTTTTGGATCTGTCCCTTGGACGTCTCACTCAGAATGACCCGTTTCCGCTGGGTTCCTGAATGGCGATTCCGCTTCTTGTGAACAGTCATGTGAAGCAGGGCTTGTGGGTTTTGTGCCATCTAAACTCCCTGCATGGGTCAGAACTAACCCACGAAGAAGGATGAGATCAACCAACACTGGCGTCTTCTTCTCTTATTGAGAAGAGGCATGGATCAAGCCCTTGTTTGTGCAAGGTCCATGTCACGTCGCAATGCGTGCGACACGCATCGCACATGACAGTGGCTGATCATGGCTGATCGAAACCACGGGCCGCTCCGCTGTCGCGGATCGGACGCGACTCCCGGTCCAATCGACCCGTACGACGGATGATCCCTGAACGGCTGGCTCGTCGGATGATCCGGGCAGCCACTTCTTGCGCCACCCACACACCTTTGGTGGGTTTCACGAAAGACAAGGTGTTGTTTTAGGAAAGTGATATTCCGAGATATTCCAACTTCAAAACTGGGGGAAATATGGGGAAATCGATTTCTTGATTTCTGGCAATTTCCGGTTGCACTCGTCTCTTAGTTTGTTTCTTCGTGGCACTGTCCTAGATTCTAGAGTCTAGAAGAGGTTTGTACTGAGAGTCCAGTCATGACTCATTTTGCCCCAGCCTGGTAGTGGTGGAATATGACTACCAGGTGAGGTAGTTCATGAGTCAAAACGGAAGTTCTGGGTTTGTACCGACACTGCCCTCATTGCCTCATGACCTCAAAGCATTCCTCCCATTCAATAAGGTCATCACCGCTCCAACTCCGAAGTTCAGCAACTTGTACCCTGGAACCTAGAGATACTGTATCAATCTAAACTACAGGACACCCCATGGACACCCAGTAAACACCAACAAACACATGAACTCTCACAGAAATGCCCGTCTTCCGTCTTCTCTGTCTTCTTTGTCTTCTCTCACTCGAAATCGCCCAGGGACCGCGAGCGGAAGCATTGGGTTCAAGAAGCGGACCGTGACTTCATCCCAGTGAACTGCTTCGGCTTCCAGCAGGTGGCCCTTCCAACGAGACATGGAGATGGAGACGTGCTTTGGGTGTTGCACACGTGTCCCAAACGGCAAAAAAGGGGCCCAATGAAACATGCGTGGGGCGAATGATGGTTGTTTTTCTTCTAGAACCCCAAACAGTTTATTGTTATAAAGTGCTTTCATTGGAAAGAACCTGTTTTCAAAATTTAAAAAAAAGTCAAAAAAAGTCAATCCCAAAAGTCAAAGTCAAAAAAAAGTCAAATTGAAAAGTCAAAAAAAAGTCAAAAAAAGTCAAAAAAAGTCAACAGTCAACAAAAAGGCAAAAAACACAGTCAAACAAAAACTTTGCATAGGCAAACAAGTCAAGGAAAAACTTGTAACAAGGCAAATTGCATCCTTTTTGCTTATGGCTTATGGCTTTCAGTCTATTCAAAATTCTAGAACCTTTTTGGTTGTTCAACTTTCACCTTTTCCAGCCCCAAGCCAGCCCCAACCCCCTACCCCAGAGTCGCAGGATCCCTACCCAGCCCCAGCCACTGTCCCAGGGTCTCTTCAGCCCCAAGCCAGCTGCTGCTCAAATTTTGGGGCAGGTTGCTGCCAGGGCCAGGCTTTGGGCTGGCTGCGGCTGGCTCCTGGCGGAGGGGTCAGGTTGAGGTCGAGCTCAGGCAGGCTACAGGCGGGCTGGGGCATGCGGGGCTGGGCCGGCAAAAAAAAGTCAAAAAAAGTCAATTGGAAAAGTCAAAAAAAAGTCAAAAGTGCGGATCCTAGCCTTGGCGGATTACTGGAGGCAACAAAAAGTCAAAAAAAAGTCCAAAAAAAGTCGAAAAACAGTCAAAAAAAGTCAAAAGTGGAAAAATTCAAAAAAAAGTCAAAAAAAGTCGAAAAAAAGTCAAAAAAAAGTCGAAAAAAGTCAAAAAAAGTAAAAAAAAGTCAAAATAAAGGCAAATGTGAACACCAAGCGCGGATCCTAGCCTTGGCGGATTACTGGAGGCGACAAAAAGTCAAAAAAAAGTCAAAAAAAGTCGAAAAAAGTCAATTCTGCTCGCGACTCTGGGCCGGACAGGGGTGGGTACTTGGGACTCTGGGGTGGCTACCAGGGCCACCAGGGACAGGGCTGGGCTGGGGCTGAAGAGACCCTGGGACAGTGGCTGGGGCTGGGCAGGGGTCCTGCGACTCTGGGGTTGGGGCTGGCTTGGGGCTGGAAAAGGTGAAAGTTGAATAGAATTTTTAATTGATTGAAAGCCATAAGCCATAAGCAAAAAGGCTGCAATTTGCCCTGGCTGACTTATGAGCTTGTTACTAGTTTAGTTCAATGTTGTTGTCCTCTTTGCCTGTGTTTTCCATATATATATATATATGCCGGCTTTCTTTTGCTCCTGAGTCGCTTGACTGGACATTTTTATTTCTTTTTATTTTATTTGAACTTTTTTTGTTGATTTTTTTTTGACTTTGTTTTGACATTTTTTTGACTTTTCAATTTGACTTTTTTTTGACTTTGACTTTTCCAGTTGACTTTTTTTGACTTTTTTTTAAATCAAGGATTCTGGCCTTACCATATGAAAGCAGATTATAAGTTTATTGTTCTTCGTTCTCTCTTCGGCACCAGTCTCTGGCCGCGCCCCTGAACATCGTGTCTGCTTATTGTCCTCCTGCTGTCCTCTCACTGAGCTCGCGAACCCTGCACCCTCCTCGTGTCCTCCTGGTGTCCTGCAGTCCTCTTGGGGTGCTGGCAAGCCCCTGTCTTTCTCTTGTCCTCCTTCTGTCCTCTGGCCAACGCTGTGTCCTCCTTTTGTTCCCCAATCAGTTTAAACAATGGCTGGCCATGATAGCTGCCTTGCCCGGGGCTGGTCCAGGCCTTGTTCACTGCGCTGCTGTGGACCCTGCGTTGTCCTTGTCCACGCTTTGTCCGGGTCTGCTTGGCCCCTCCGCCTTGTCCAGGCCTTGTCCCCTGCTTGGCCATGCCAAGTTTCCCTTTCTTTTTTCACCGCCTTGTCCGGGTATGTTATCGTGTGCTATGGATGCAACAGTGGTGTGGCGTTTCAAATCCCTTTGTCTTTGCACACGTGACCCGTGAATCAGGAACTGTTGTTTCCAAACAATGCCATTCTCAAACAGCTGGAAGCTATGGGAATGTCATTACAGACTTTACCATTGGAATTCAAGGAGTTGACGCAACATAATAATGCTGAAACTGTTTGGAGTCTATGCAAAGCTGGCATAATTCTTGTTTTCTTTTGGGAGGTCAACGTGACCAGAATGACCACCAACCAAGTATAACAAGTTTGCGTGAGCTGCCGAACACCAGAAGACCTGGCCATCAATGGCTTGAGACGCCGCCCTGCAGGCGTCGACGACGTCCCTGGGATCGTCGCAAGCGATGGCCGAGTGCCTCGAGGAAGCGGAGCCGCAGACGCATCAAGAGTTCAACCAGACGGAAGATAGCAGCGTAGCAACAACTACGCACATCAAAATCATCAAACACCACTGCATTTGTTGATGATAGAGGTAGATGAATAGGTCATGAAGTCAGCAGGTGTGAGCCACTTGAGTGCCTGAGCAAAATGGGACTCTTGCCTGGCTGCCCCGGCCACAGCTTCTCCCACAAATCTACAGAAACTTGAACCAACTTTATGGCCACAAAAGACCCTTCCTGAATCTCAAGCACAACGGTGGAAGAACCAAGCTGTTTGGATGAGATAGATATGCATGGGTTGCATGTTGCATGGGTCAGGAAGGGTCAAAAGTTGCTCGAGGTACCATGAGGTACCTTTGAACAAACTCTTCCAATCTACTGTTCAGTGCCCCTAGCAGTGGAGTCACAGATGCCACCGAAAGATGGTGAATTGTCTCTTCCATTTGGCACCTGGAAACCCAGTCCCAACCTGGAAAACAGTTCTGGTTGTTCCAATATGGCTTGCTTGAGATCCTTTACTTTACACAAAAAGTGGCTGTGACTGGGGAAAGATGCAGAACTGTTTCTGGAAACACTGTCTCATCTGAGTAAACTCATGGAGCACTTGGCCAGATTGCCATCTACCTACAGTAGTCACTAGTCGCCAGTGGTTGACCTGTTTCCTTTGTTGGTAGGTGAGGTGGAGTTGCTTGTCTTGAAACTTCAGTCAGCTCCATACAGTTGCGACCAGCGAATTGCCGTTCTCAGCCAGTGTATCGAATTGCAAAGTGCCGTCTTCATTCACTCAGCACTAATCATATTGAAACTGAGAGGTGCCCATCTCAAAGCCCAGTTTTTACGGGTCGGAACGAAGATGCGGGTCGCACATGGCAGTTCCATGGAGTTGGGTGCAGTCCGGATGCCGTTGTCACACTCACTGGGTGGATTGACTCAAAACACCCAATTTCCATTGGAGGAACTGGTGTGAAAACCCTTAGCCAACACTCTTCGGTCCCTGTGCTCGCTTCAAACCCTCGGAAAGCGAACCCCCACGTCGAAAGCCATGAAGCCCAAGGATGCCGGGAGTGAGTTCTCGCAGAAGTTGCCTTCAGCACTGACTCCGTCTGTGCCGAAGCTGCTCAAGCCGTGCCTGGTCAAATCGGAGTTGAGATATTCTTGCAGCCCTTCGTCGGGGTCGTCCCTTTTTCGGAGTTCCGGCTGCCACCAGTAGCTTAAGCAGTCCAGGACCATAGATAGGATAGTCAATCCAGATGTTAGTTGCCGAAGAGGAGCTCCATTTTGCTTCACTGCAAACTTGGTATTTCAGTCGAGCAAAGTCGTTTTCAATCATTTTCAGGTCAGTCGTCGGATGTTACCCTCCCCTTTGACCGTTTGGTGCTGAGAATTCAGGTCCGAACTTCGTCTGTCGAAGCAGTCTTGACCTTTGGGACATGTTTTTTGGGCGGATTGAGAAGTGAGCTTTCCAACGCACCCAGAAAGCTTCCCAGGATGCTGGACTGACTTTGGGGATCCGAGGTCGAACAACACGGCTTTCCTTTGAGAGCAACACCATTTGAGTCACAGACTTAAGTACCCAACTCCTGAAATCGAGGTGGATTTCAATTGTAGGTAGACAAACCTTTGTCTATGTTCGCCCATATACTGGTTGGCTGGGAGCAAGAATCAACAGTTCATAGAGGAAATGCAGGGCTTATGGCTTGTGTGAGTGGTATCTCTCCCTTCCCTATACATTAAGTATGAACAGAAGTGGCTGCTTCTACAGGAAGATATCTACAGAAACTGGTCCATCTTTGCAACCCGAGATGTTCCCAGTCTATTGCAACCCGGACGTCGAGATGAGACTCGACCTCCATCTTCACCGTCACCATCTCGGCGTCGTAATCAGGACCTTGGACGATCTGTTGGCGTCCGGACCTGGCGGGTCGCGTCTGCGGCGGCTTCCACGCCTGGTGCTGCCCAGGTCGTTTTCGAACGAAGTGGATCGAACGGGGACCTGAGCCTTTCGTGACCCCTTTGGAGTCTCTGTTTGTGATCTGTTTGGGGATTTCTCCAAAGATCACTTTGAAGGTCCGAGGAGAAGCTGCGAGCTGCCCCTTTGCCACCAAAAGCACGTTCCGTGGGTGCCATTGAGTTGGGTGCGGAGTTGCGTCCCATCCAGAGCTCCTCGAAGTTCACCCAACTCTTTTACATCGGTGAACTGCAAGGAATCAGCCAGGCAAGCCGTCGTGGAACATAGGAGTCTTCAGAGTTTACTGGAGACACTTGGGCATTGGATCGCTCGAAAGTGGCGGGGACCCCAAACCTTATCCAGAGCCTACTTGGGGAGCTTGGCACCTAATTTGGTGTACACAACGATTTATTGGCAATACTTTGGTTGCATTCCCACCAATGTTGGATGTTTGATGATGTGAAAGCAACATGTGGCAATGGAGGTCTCCTATGTGACCTCCAAGCAAGTTATGCTTCTCTGTCAGGCTGCCCAGCATGCGGAAGTTAATGGATTCTGAGCCGCACACTGTGCGTTGAGATTGGCGAGGTCCAGAAACGCTTGTGGAAGCGAACAGAAGCGCCTCACGCTTCATCTCCATTTGCAAGACGCACATGGAGAAGTGGGGTTGAAGTTGCCTTCGCGGGAATTTGCTGCACCTCTTTGAATCTTTGGGTTTAAAGCAACCACGCTTGGTTTGGGAATTCTTGTGAACCTTTTTGCTTCTGAGTCATCCCGTGCAACGCCACTGAGTCAAGAACTCGGTCCCCCGGTCCCGCCGGCAGACCGGCGGTCGGGCTTTCTAAGACAGGAAGCCGAGGACGGCACAGAGAGGCAGGGCGAAAGCGAGACTGGGGCGAGATGTTTGCTTTTTCGAGACTCTGTGGTGGGACACCTTAAAGATAGGCTGATAGGCGCAAAAGACCCGTGTTGTTTTTTTGGGCCGTGCTTCTCTGAGTGAGCGAGGCTTCCACAGATCTTCATGCGGCCCTATGTGGTGCCAGGGCCTCGGATTGTGGAGGTTTGGTGTTCAGCGCTGGAATCCATAGGATCTCATTTGGAATAAATGAGAGTCAGAGTGACGGTCTAGTGTTGCAGGGGCGGTTTGGGCGAACTTTCTTTGAAGAAAACTGTAATGAATTCAACTGACTAGTCCCTTCATGAGGGCTCGAATGCGCACAAACCGCATCTGTTTTTTGGGAATGCTTTCCAACCGCCTGAGTTACTTTCTCTTTCTCCCGCAGACGAGCCGCCCAACTGATTTATGTCGCTGATGTTCTTGAACCCTGCCGGAGATTCGCTTTGGATCCCATCTCGGAACTCTATGGAACTCTTTGATATACAGTAGAATGCTCATAGGTCCCACTGGCTAGTTTAGTGGTAAACAAGCCTAGTGGCCTAGTGTATATTCACAAACAATGTAGGCTTGGCAAACCCATACATATCGGTTCATCAGTCTTGTCAATAACTTCTCAAATTGTAGAGACCTCTTAGCAGATGAAGCAGACTTCCAAACATAAACCAGTTCCAAACTGCATCAAAGATCTCAACCAGTCTCTTTCACGAGCTTGGCTCAGATAACCTGGGGATCCGAGCTTGGCTTGCTTGGAGTCGGGGACCACCTGAGGGGCTACTGCCCACGCGCTCGCGCGGACACATCTGAAAGGTGGCAACAGCTGCCAGAACAGTCTGAACAGCTGAAGAGAGAGAAGCTTGAGCTGGGTGGGCTGCCTGAGCTTGAGGGTGGAGATTTTTTTTTGTTTGTTTTTGAGGGGGGGCGAGAGGGAGGTATAGTAATTAGCTAGGTAGCTAGTAGCTAGCTAGCAGAAGCAAACGATTTTGAAGAAGCGATCGCACTGTTCATTTGGTTCCTAGATTTTTTTGGGGAAACTGAACTATGGAGAATAGATGAGGATAGGCTGCTGCGGAGGGGTGCGATCCACTCAGCGGGATGGGTCACCCAAGTCCGAACTCCTGGGACCAGGACCCGGAGGATCATTGGTCGCACCGGACTCGGAACCGGGTCCGGGTAGAGACTGGGGCCGGGTAGAGAGCCTCTTCTACTCCAAGTAAGAGCCTGGGATGGAGAGTGATCGCTTCGTGGATGTCACTACGCTACCAGATCCTGGCACTTCGAATTTTGCCGCAGTCTGCCCGTTTTGTATCTTAATTATCAAGCTGTTTTCCTGTTCCTTGTCAAAACTCCCCTTGAACACCCACAGACCGACGGAACTCCTCCAAGCAATCACATCTCCCCCCCAACCCTCCAAGAGACTCATTCTTGCTTTTCCTCGAGTCATACCTGGCCTTCCCCAAGCGCCGATGCACACGAAACACCTAGGCGCGGCCTTGCTGCAGCTGCTGAAAGAGGCAGCGCAGCGATGCCCTAGCGCCTTACTGGAGCCGATGCTGAACAACAGCAGGCGAGCTACGCCAAACCGAGCTTTCTTCGGCAGCGACCTGAGCTACCCGAAGATCTTTAGTTTCTCCGGACAGCAAGATGGGGTTTGAAGGAAGACAGTTTCTTTTTCTTCTTTTTTTCCTGTAGCACTCAAGACGGACGATCCGCTGTCAATCACCCACAAGCTCGCATTCTGTGAACTGTGCCTGCTTGGTGCGGAGACATGCCCTGGAAATTATGGTGGACAACATCCCACTTCCATTGTACTTCATTTGCTTGGGGGAGATTGATCATATGTCTCGCCCTGTCTCCCGCACAAGCGCGCCGGCGCGCGTGTTTTGGAGTGTGCCGAGCTGGGGAGTTGGCGGTCAGGCATGGGCAAGAGATGACGGCCTTTTTGCTGCAGAGTCCTCAGATTTGCGGGGACCGTATTCACATTTGACAGAAAGAAAACACAGGCACAGACTCGCAGACAAGAAAGAACAAGAAACATGTTACAATGTCAGGCTTTTGCCCCTCCCTAAAAAGGAAGGGTGGACATTTGTTGGACCTGTGCACTTGGTTCATTGCTTGACCGTTTGGGTGAAGAGACTTGCCACAACGTCCGCTAAGCATGGCTAAGCCCCTGGCTAAGCCACAACCGGATCTGATGACTACCCCCCATGCAAGAAACATGGAGACTTCTCAATAATGGGTACCTTCTATTTTTGGGGCCCTGCATGACTGGACAAATCTTTCACCTGGTGACAGCAGGTGCCCAGAAACCTCCTGGACCTCTTTTCCCTCAGACTTTGGGGATCGGCCTGGCCGATCCAAGAGGAGGCCCATCAGCCCATCCGTCTCTTCCGAGGGTGCTCAGATCCTAAGGATCGGCCTACAAGATGCCCACGAGTCCGGCCCTCAGCCCATCTCCGCCCCTGAAATCGGCCAGGCCCTCGTGGAGACCAGACACCCTCGATTTCTTGAGATCAAAGATCGCAGAAAAGGTCCTTGATTCTTAGGGCAATGCATGGGAAAAGCTGCAGATCGGATCCTTCTTCACTGGGACCCTAAGGGGCTTCATTTTTCTGCCTTGGGGAAGTGTGACGGGTGTTCATGGCCAATTTGATGAAACACCCGTTTTCCGCCGCTAAAGGCCTCCATGGAGGGAGGAGAACGACGGACTTTGGAAACTCATTCGTCCTCCGGTCGGGATCCATGTGAGCTGCACAGTCCATGTCTTGAGCTGTGCAGTCCATGTCATGGGTCCAAGCAGAACCCTTTCAAGTCGTCAAAGAAGGGAGATCTTTCGAAAGAGGGTCTGGACACCGTTTTGGAGGAAGGTCCTCCGAATCGGTCTCTCCCCTTCGATCGGTCAGACCGATCGCGGGGTCGGATCCCCGAGGTCGCCCCACGCGCCACCCAGTAGGCCGTCGACTCCATGTCTCGTGCGTCGAGCCAGTTGGTAGTGGCACACCTGAGACAGAGTTCGGCTTCATTAGAGTGATCTTTTGGGAGTTGCCCAATGGGTAAATCTCCTTCCTGAGAATGTGTGTTCGAGATCTTTTCCCGGTTCCTTAAACCCTTAAACACATCTAAGAACTTGAAGGAGCGAGCAGCAAGGACTCAGTTGAACAAACACAATGACACAGAGTTGAGTGTATGGAGAACCACGCCCGCATGAGGCCCAAAACCGGAGGCCACGCACTGAAACGAAGTGGACATCGCATGCTAGGAGGCCACAGCAAACAATCATGGGAAACAAATGAAAGGACATGACATACATATTGTATCGAAAGAAAAAGCACACAGGAAGCCATGCTGAGAAAAACACGAACTCAAGGGAGAAAAGCACCAGAAGAGAAGGACAGACACATGAAAGGACATGAAGGCAAGCGTGACCGAAAGAGGAGGACACGGCAACCCAGACAGAGAGACAATAAAATGAAAGGAAATGAAGTAGATGAAGGCTGGAAGGAGGAGGACACAGCAACCCAGACAGAGGAGGGTATATACACATAAATGCAGTTCGCACCCTGCAAAGAATTTGCATTCGCCAGGCAGACACACTCAAAACCATACTGAGTTGTTTTTCTACGAGTTAGACTTTGATGGATATTTTTTCCAAGGAGATTTTACCATGATTTTGGAAGGGCACCGAAGCCGTTTAGGGATGTTTGGATGGGTGTCCTGTCCGAGGCTAAAGCCCTTGTTGTATTCTTCTGCAGCCTGGGCTGTGAGGAACCTCAGTGCAGCAAGGCTGTGTGTTTCGGCTGGTGAAAACAGCCCTGCAAAAGGGGAGGCCCAACCAAACAAGGAAGACTCCTCCATTGACCGGATTACATCAGGCAGCTTCCACCTAGAAGTGAGAATGCCACTAGTTGCGATGAGTTGGTTTCAAACACTACTGCCATTGTTAATAGTCTTATCAGAACAAACATCCTTCAGCTATCTTCAGCTATAGAATTATATTTTTTTTTAAAATGTACTGTACCTCTTTCAAACTAGGGGACATTCCCATCATTTCCCCTTCGGTCCACCAGCGACCTAGGCTCTACTTGGAGGTGCTGCGCAGTCTCCCGTGCGGAATCCCCAACGGGTCGAAGGATGCCGAACTTCCACCCACGACGAGTGGACGACGACGAAAGGTGAATCGATCCGCGCACGGATGTGGATCGGAGCCACTTTACGATCAGCTTTTCGATCCGCAGTCGCGGATGAGAATGTTTCTTTAATTTTTTTTGTAGCGGATGAGACTTAAGTGGCAAGATGGGCACGATGGGCAGTCGATAGTCTTAGGTCGTCCAGTGTGGACACGACTGGGGCGCATTTGGAGGATGGGGGTTTCTGTCCCGGGTTGGGTGGGGTCCAGAAGGACCCGAGTTTCTGCCAAGTCACTACGTTGGATAAAGATCCCCAAGCAGTTGAAGATTCATTCTGTTCGTGGGGGCGCATGGAACAACTCAAGGATCCTGATGGACGGCATTGGCTTGGGCTGTGCAGAATGCAAACATATGCCAAAGAAGGAACATCTTCGTCCCTTCAGGATTTGCTTGAGTCAAGTCTCCTCACAAGACCATCGAATCAGCACCCATGTAAGCCTGACTCCTAATTTGAGGGAACTCCCGTCAGTTTTCTCTCCCAAAAGATTCGGTCCACTGTGGGTGGATGCAGAGGTTTCATGTCCTGGGTGCACAGAGGAAACACAATTCAGCCATGTGGGTCCTTAGTGGTTTGACTTCACAGAATGACCATGGTCATTGACATCCATAAACATGGAATACATGCATTTGCATCCACACGCGATCACACTCCGACTCAGACGTGCATGTGGGACAATGGTGGCCCAAAGACCATGTTCATTCATGTTCATTCCAGTTTTGGAGGGGTGCATGGGCGTTTCATGTTGGCAAGTCCGAGTGCATCCCAAGGTGTGCCTTGAAGAAGCACCAGTGCCAGTATATGATCTTATTCCGATCTTAGCAGTGGTCAGATGGGTTCAAGAAGAAAGTTCTGCTGGTCAAAAGCTTTTTCCTTTGGACACCAAGGCCATGGCATCCTTACCTGTGGCCTGCCTGGCCTGTGCTTGCAACAGCTTCCTGGGCCTGGACGGTTTTCTGACCGAGGTTTACTGGTGAAGTCTCTCAACCCATTCCGCCCCGGTCGGGCCACAACTCCGCACGGCTGTGGATAGGGACAGGTAGGGGAGGCGACATGTGCGCGAGAAGCCGCGTGGCCTTCAACTTGGATGTATCGAATCGCTTTGCATAGTAACAGGTCGTTTGGGGAAAGCTCCCTTTCAACAGGTTCTAGTTTCGTTTCGACACCTATTTCAGGAGATCACTGTCACTGAGTTATCCTATCACCCGCCAAACCTGCCCAACTTCAGGACAATCTTTCTAGACATCGCAAACCGAGCCATGGAGCCTTTGCACATTTTGCACCGAGCCTTCCACATCCTTCCGTGAAGCATGCGCCCTGTGTTCAAAGCTTCGCCAGGGCCAGCTGCTGCAACGGCTCTTGTGGTCGGCGGCGCGGATGGACTACAACGACATTCAGTCGCAAAAGATCCTTGGTGAGGCGCCGTCTGGCGAGGGGCGCTTGGGCTGGGCTCAGGTGGGAGCTGTTGTGGAAACAGATCCATGAGATTATATAACCACTTAGACTTGCAAACAATTCTATTTTGCTGTTCTTTTTTCGAGTCTGTCGGACCTTTGTCGGGCAAATTTTCCTTGGAGAGGTGGATCGGGCCAAAATGCAAAGAATGTTCACCAAACAAGATGAAAACCAGTCCTTCTGATGGATGTGTATGTATATATATATATATACACTGTATATCTCTGTGTGTGGCTTCCAGTCTTTTCATATTATATTCATGGTTGATTCAGAACAGTTCTTGTGTGATCTTCTGTGCAAACTTTTGGTTCACAAGTTGTTTTGAGAGCACAGCTTGTCCTGCTTGAGCTCCCGCCATCACCATCATCATGAGACCCGAAGCAGGCAATGCTGTGTCCCAGGTTTTGGCCATGGGGTTCGCAGACAAGTTCGCATCTTGTACACAAAGAGTTGGACAATTGTTGCACAAAACTGTAAGCAGGGTTTGCAAGATCAAGAGCATTTCCGCGAAGATGTCTTGATCAAAAGAAGCAACTCTTGCAGGGAAACATGCTGCAAAGTTCTAGCAGAAAGAGCTCTAACATCTCCTTCTGTGCTGTGGAGACGCGATTCGGACCTTCCTACATTTTTGGGACAGCCACGAGGATGACAGTCGACTTATGAGGTCGGGATGGACTTCCTTTTGCTCATGTTGGACACCTTTGAGTAGAACCCTCTCATTTATGCAAGAGGAAAGGTAGAACCAGGTGACTTATCAGTAGAACCAAGTGTCACTGTTGCATATTTTCTGTTGCTGGAAACTTTGGCTCGGCTCTGCTAATGTATGAAATGCCGCCACACTCCGAGCTCCAAATCCAGCACAGCACCCGGAGCCCTTCCCCATAACTCATACCGTTTGTCCCGACCATTCTTGCACCCATGACCGCTTCACAGGCAGCATCCATCCTCCGCAGCGCTTTGAATCGAACGCAGCCAGAGGCGAAGGGTGAGTTAAATGGTTGTAAGGAGGTCTGGCAGAGAGCTGAGTTACGGCCGTTCACCCTCCTGCTATGGATGGTTTATGATGGTTTAGTCACTCAACAACACGCGAAGTAGGCTTTTGTATGTCTCAAGTTTTAGGGGGGAATTCCCAGCACCGACCAGTCTGATGTCGGGACTTTCAACTCCGGGGGTCACCTCTCCAGGTCGACAGTGAAAGGAGTTTTTTTCTATATATATGTTTAACTTGGGAACTCTCTGTCGAAATCCGGAAGCTGAGACTCATCCACCGCCTCAACTTCCCAAAGAATGCGTGAGGAATTTGTTTTACCCTTCTGGGAGTCCATGGTGCATGATGGAAGGAGTTGGGATGGCAGTAGTGATGGATCTACAGAGAAGATCAAAGAAGAAGAGATGAGGAAAGGATCATCTTGTCCAAGTGCAAATCGCAGGTGCAGCTGAAGGGCATGATGGATGCCTTTCAACAAGCCTTGGCCGGGAACTTACGTCGACAGTGCTATTTCCGGGTGGTTGGTCTTACCGCGCTCGTTTTGACTGGAGGTCCTTTTATTGGGGGCGTGATTCCGGACTTTAAGATCGACAGCCATTTATGAAGTACCCGTTGAAACAGTGAAAATCCATTCAAGAGTTGCACCAATTTAAGGGCCAGAGTTCTGCATTGTGCCATTGTGCGTTGCTTTTCTCGTAGACGGAAGATGAATGAAGATAAGGAAGGCAGTCCTGTTTGGTTCCCTTGTTCCTCTTCACATCAGGATGTTCTCGTGGTAGGTGCCCGTATGCTCTCCTGGTGGGCTGGGCGTGAGTCGAGGAGACATGTGTTTAGTGTTTGCGTTGGTCGGGAGACATAGGTTTCCTGAAGGAGATTGAAGGAAAAAGACCACACACAGATGATTCCACTTGACATAGATTCTTAGATGTTATTCCACCATTTAGATTCTATGTTGTTTCCAGGTGGATTTATTGTTTCAGCCTCAGTCACTAGCCGGTTCGGATTCTTCAAGCGAACGGCGCGATTTTCCAGCTCAGATCCCTTGATTCGGCGGGAGGCAGCAATCAGCAACTGGAAGTCTCACTGTCTTCATAATGTAGACTGTTGATTCATAAAGCTGCCGTTTGGACATGTAAAACCATTCTGGAGACGGAGGGTTTCACTCATCTACATGACGTTGACCGGTAGGTTTCCTCGGGGCGAAACCCTTTTTGCAGTCAGGGCTCTAAAGAGAGTTCGACACATGAAACATAATATCCTCCAAACTACCTGGTCAAACAGAATCATGATGAAATTTCCCTAAAAATCTAGGAACCAGATCATTAGTGCGAGCGTGAGCTATCCTGCGTCCAGTTACTAGTAGCGTCTTAGGAGCTACTAGCTACCTCTCCCTTACTTCATTAAGTAGGAGGGCGGGGAGAGGGCAAAAAACACAAAGACCGTGGTTTTCTCTCTCACCGCCCCCACCTGGTGGTCACCCGTGAGGTCTTTCAGTCCATCGACCTCCAAAACCCAGGTGGCAGCCTTGCCCGGCTTGCGCAACGAGACGGCGCCACGGCGGCTCTGCGAGGTGGGGATGGGACGGAGGTCCCACGTGCAGCTTCAGCTGCCGTGGCCAGGTGGTTGGCCGGTTGAGTTTCTTTCTTTAAACATGTAACTTGTTCCATCTTGTCCTTTTTTTTTGATCAGATTTTGAGATTCAAGGTTTGGAGATTTGACAGGTGGAAGCTTCGGTTTTCGGGGGGACATGACCAGGCCAGGGACGTTAGGAGTATCCTCCTTTTGAGCCTCTACAGTACTTGATATATCCGATTCCAGTCGAGCAGTTCAAGCGCTCGGGGTACCCGAACGGGTCGCTCCGGGGTGTTTCTGGATGGGTCCGATGGATCTACCAGCCAACTCCATGGAACCTTCGGTCGAGACCTGAGTGCTCCACATGGAGAAGAGAACTAGGCGTGCCTCAAATAATATTGAAGGACCAGGTCACAGATACTACAAGTATCTACAAGTGCTAAGCAACGATGCAAAGAAAAGTTACATGGGTTTCTTTTTGTTGACATCTTTTGTATATATATATATATTTAAAATACTATATTTCTTAAGTCGGTAGCACGTGTTGGAATAGGGAGACCCACGTCCTAGATTTCCAATCACTGAAATGGGAACATCGTGCCAGGCTACCAAGGTCCATTGGAAGACACGAACACCCGACTCACCTGGAAGATGGGAGGATGTTCCGTGGCTTTTAGCCCCCTCCAGTGAGTGGCTGTGATGAGAAAAACCCGGAGCTCCTCCAAGTTCAGCACCCTGAGCCTCTGGAACTGCTGGCTTTCTGGGTCTTCCTCTTCCATGGCGGTCACCGTCGAGTTGGAGTGTCACCGTCGAACGGGAGAATTCGGTCAACGCCAGAGACATCCAGCTCGACTCTGTGGCACCGAAGTCATGTTCTTTTCCTTTTGCGCTCACCGAAAGGACTGCAAGGACCATTCTAGTCGACTGGACTCCTCGACACTGGACAACACTTACATCGTGTCGACACGATGAAGCTCGTGGTGAGGGTGCGAGAGTCCTCGGTTTGGGTGGCTTGGCCCTTCTCGGTTGCAGGTGCTCTCGCAGAATGCTCCCATCAAGGAGGGCTTGGACGGGGTGAGTTGTGTCCAACAACGCGGGGGGGGGGGGCGAAATCAAACCCTACAAGTACCAATTAGTCTTCGGCAAAAGGGGGGAAGGATGCTTCCGCCAAGGAATGACGGACAGGAAAGTTTTGGTGTGGAGTGCAATTTGATGTTAGTGGCAGCAATTCTTGTGATGTGGCAGTGTGAAGTCATTTTGATCAACCCTTTCCTTAGTTCATCTTAATTCTATTTGCGATGTGCTTTTGGTGCATGATGTCAGGTGGTGTAGTTCTTTCTAAGACGGGTTTACTTGAGGCAGTAGTACGAAATTGCAGCACGGCTATTTCTATATGTATTTTGCGTCGTGCTTTTGCAATGTTGCTTTGCTGACATTTTGCGCGGCAGGAGCACACTTTTACTGCGCAAGTCTTTTGTCGTTTTTACATAGAACACAGTGGAATTTCCAATTTAGAACTGTCCGATTCTTTCCGCGGGTTCGTCCGTCGCGTGCTTTTAGGTACTGTACTCGCTTTCTCATCGTCTCGCACGTCTTGATATGTATCTCAAGGGGGTTTGGGGGGTGGGCAGATGCTTGCGTGCATGTTCTTGCGCACGCATGCGGATCTCAAGGCGAATTTTTTGGGGGTGGGCCAGATGGTTGCATTCGTGTTGTCTTTCGCACACATGTGTACCAGTGATGGCAGACGAAAGCCCTACACATTGTAGCACAACCTCTCACTGTCTGAAGCGGGCAAGTGAGGAAACGTTCACTGTCTCAAGTCTCAGGTGAACCAGGTAGGACATGTATACTGTGTATATATATACACATATTATATAACGTAGTAAGTCATACGTATAACGTACACATTGTTCTTTAACGACCTTATGGTTAATGAACTGCAATCCGGTGATGACTTGATGAACAATACGGGATTCTTTGGGCACCTTGTAGGCCAGATTTACCTTTAAGAGGCTAAGTCCAAGTGCGGAGCTGATGCATACCATGTCTCCAGTGACCCCGCAAACTGGACATTCCCAGTATTTTTGACGTTCTCGCAACAATTGAACTATAATATTTAATATAGCACTTTGACACTTACTGTAGCATCTTTTTGGCGTGAGCACCAAATTGTATTTTTGTCGTCAACCTCGTTTGCTGGGTGAAGTCTTTCTTTTGACCCATAATGATTCCATGATGTGTACTAGCAGAGGCTGATTTATTGGAGAGATTCCTGAATGCCTGTTTTCAAGATGCGTACTTCTTTACTTCCCAGGGCTGTCAGCGCTAGGGACTTCCGGATCTTTGGCTTCTTGCAGGCAATGGGGTTGTGGTTGTAGCTAGAGCCTGCAAAGAAGTAGCCATTAAAAGGTATCAACAGCCAAATTTGTCAAACACATGGAAGTGATGAACACTGAAACAACATCGACTTAGCTGGCCTCCTGATTACATGGTTTCGCACGCATCGTGTGGGGCCACCAGCTACTGCTCGGCTTGAGGAGGTTCGAGCAGCATTGCAGCAATGCACGATCGATTGGCGGCGTGAGTGCGGGTAGTCAGCAGAATTTCACCCAGAAAGTGAAACAATATGTAACCTGTTGGACATGTGTGTTTGACTACTTGGGAGCTGACTTTAGTTTCTGATTCCGGGACAACGCTTGGTTTTTTGGAGGCAACAACAGCCAAAAGGGTTGACAAGTGAATTCAAGGAAGAAGACAACCTCCACTTCCTGCAAGCACTTTGATCGGAGAATCGAACATGACACTCAAGACCAGGCCCGCACCCTGAATCCATTTCAAGCGCCACGCGGACCCACACCAAATCATCTCCGATCGACCGCTGGTTTCCTGTACCGAGTCTGGTGAAGTTCTGCCTGCGTGGACATGGTTCTCCATAGGCAGACTTGCGAGACGACTGTCGACGACGGTCCTCGTGTTCTGCTTGACAGCTAGGCTACGAATCGTTTTTTGGTGATCGTTGATCGTGCCCCTCCTCTGCGATTGGACTTTGGAAACACCTCCAACAGTTCTCGGCAAACACATCCGTTTTTCTTTTTGAGCTTGGAGTTGGCAAAATCGCAAAGCGAGGTTATACAGTGCGAATCTCGAATGAGTTGCGTCTTGGCGCTTCAGCAAAGACAGTTGCCATGGCAGACGTGTCATCCATCCAGACGTGCCGTGGCGTGCGATCTAGGCATTATTGTCACAATGCAGAGAAACTGTTTCCAACAAAGGCTGGACTCTTCAAGGCACAAAGGTGAGTGGATCAGCAAAGGCAGACCCTTCGTGCTCATTGATTACTTGGGTTGGACATGTAAACTGGGGCCTCGCTTGAATTCCAAGCAGCCACTGGCTCACAGCTCAAAAGCTTGAAAAACATGAATTCTCAAGATCACTGAAATGCTTGTATCATTTGGTATCATTCAACGCAGCAGGTTTAGTAGACATGGTAAGATTGTCAAGACCGAACAGTACAGTAATTAGCAATCAGAGAGTTGCTTCAGTTTCGCAAGAAAGTACTTATATATATACACTTAGGAGCCACGTTAGTAAGAATGATTGAGAATATGGTTGATTTGTTGCAGCATATCCCGAGCATCCAACCACTGTGGTTGCCAGACCGCTGAGAGTTGCAAAGTTGCTCACCTATCTTGGCCAATACCAACTGGAGTCTGAACTCTGGGGCGTGAATCCCGAAAAAAAGAACCTTTCTTTGGCCTCCGATGCTTTAGATATGGCACAAGGGTCCTCAACGCAATCTTTGGACATGGCGACGGAGCAGGAAAGGCCAGTCAGCATTCCTTGGTCTTGTTGGTTCGACAACAACCATGGACGTGGGCAGCATGGCGTTCCCGGGTCACTTGGACGCTGTCTGCGACGCGCTAATTAGCCGGTTACTTCCGGCCCTACAGCCTGTGGTGGAACAAGCAGCAAGCAAAGCAGCCTTGCTGGCCGTTCAGAGTCTGCAATCTGACTCCCAGTGATTGCTAGTGATTTTGTTGTTTCCCTGACTGGAAGCCCCCCAAAAGAAGTACGTCATACAAAAGACTTTCGTGGAGAACCACCATTCAAGTCAACTGAGCATGGAACACCTTGGTTTCAATTGCTTTTCATAGCAGTTCCACATGCCAAAGCTGGCCATGATTTTTATATTTTCAATAGGTTTGCTGTTCACCGACCAGTGAGGACAACTCACCTGGAGCCACTTTGCTGGGCCGTGTGCCCCCCTGAACAGCTGGTGACAGTGGAATGGACCTTCACAAACAGTTCTCAAGAAGCCTGGCCCGGCTGTCACTTACGCTACCTGGGTGCTTCGCTTGAGCCAAGTTTGGGATGGCATGGCTGATGGGATGGCTTGGCTTTTTCTGGGGCCTGTTGTGTTTGGGGGAACCCCAGGTTGATTTGTGTAGCATCAGGAATGCCACCTGACTGTCGACTCCAAAGTTGAAGAACATGACAGAGAAGTTCACATCCGAAGGATGGTCTTTCACATCTTCATCTGCGGAGGGGGTATCATACAATGATCTTTGGGGATGGGTCAAAGCCTGGAGCCTCTCCACCGTGTGGGTCAACCATCTCCTGGTAGCCAGCGAACGAAGGGCCCTCTGGACGTGTGGAGACCGTGCGCAAGTCTCGGTAGGTCCATCAAGGTGTCCTGGTGGTGATGCTCGGTGGTGATGCCACCCGCAGGGCTCTCTTATTGGGTTTTCACGGGGATGGCTGGATGAGGCTGAATTGGCCGCGGTGAACAGGGGGGGGGGGATCACCCGGGTTTTCTTCGATCGAGATCAAGTGAGGCAGTTTTTCTCCAAACCAGGTCGACCGGGTGACCAGAGAACACCCAATCCGAATTCGCTGGATTTGGGGGAACAGTCTGGCAAGCGCGGGGGGGGCCCTAGCGCAGACGTCCACAGAGAAGGCATCCAAAGCCAAAGCGGCCCCAAAAACGACCTGCAGTTCCATCATGTTTTGGGGGTTTGGGTCTGGTTCCCATCCTGTTCCCGGTGTGCCGTCACCCAACCGAGGTCCCACGGCCCCAAGGTCCCACGTGAACCAATTCGCGATCGGATCGCTGAGGTGGAAGTCTCAAGCCCTCCAAAGTGGGAAGTCATGAGGGATCCGTCGCACCGCACGAGACTGTCACCTTGGAAGTGGAGATGCAGGTGCCCGGTGCTCCGGGTCCTTGCGAGGCCGGGAGCCCGCGGGCGGGTGTGACGTCCGGCTGGAGGTTCGGAGGTGAACATGGCGAGACGTTCGGAGGGTCACGTCACGCATGCCATTCCTGTAAAGCCTCATGTGAAGCGTGATCCTGTGGAAGCCTTGCAGGTGCGAACTGGAGAGTTTTTGGAAGAGCTCAGATGTTGACATTTTAACTCCCAGCAGTTGCTTGTTTTCTCTCTCTCTCTCTCTCTCTCTCTCGTGGTCGGCTTCTTGAAGAGCGGGGGTCCATCTAGCAGGGTCGGCAGCACCAGAAAGGATTTAACTCCCCCCGAAAGCACCGGTCAACCTGAGTGAGAAAAGCAGTCGTAACTCAGAGACCAGTGGCTTCAAAACTCTTAGTCTATTTGGCTTCCTCAGTCGCTCCGCGAAGTCCTTCACCTTTCCTGTCAACATCTGCGGTCTGCTTCACCGAGCCTTTGTCCAAGGCTTCGTGGCAGCTGGAGACTCTACAGGGCCAACCCTTAGCACCACCGATGCCCGTCTGGGGCCATGTGGCATCCTCCGCCCTCCCAACGCCTGTGGCCTGGGCCGCGCCGGCCGCGCTGACCGCGTCGACCGCGCTGACCGCGTCGACTGCACCCCACTCCGCCGCGGCGTCCACCACGCCGCCGGCGCCGGGACAGCGGCCAGTGCCGGTGCGGGTCCTCAGGACGTGGAGCATTGTGGAGCTGTCGGAAGGACAAGACGTTCAAACACACACTCTGACATTGGTTTTCAGTTAATCTATTCCCAAGTGGAAAAAGGTGAGAGAACAGCAAGGCGAGAAAAGTCAGTTCACTTGAAAGGTTGAACAAGTTGTTTTGCGTGACTGCAGAACGATCAGCGCGGCGGCACATCAGCGGTGGAAAAAGGGTTTGGGGGGAGTAGCATGAAACAACCATGGAATCAAAAAGCAAAATTGGACAAGCGTGATCAACAGTTGCGTCGCAGGTACAGGAAACTGGCCAAGTTTCCCTTCCCACTCTTATCCACAGCTTCGTTGCGTGTGATAGGATAAGAGTGTCACACGCCCCTGCTTGAAAACAAATCAGAAGTGGAAAGCCCTTAGGGACAGGGTTTGACACACACACACACATATATATCGTATATCTATATATCTATATATACTGTATATATATCTCCATATATAGTTTATTTTTCTTTTCAATTATTAGGCTTGTCCTTGCTCCCCTCCAAAGAGGTTTCTCTTAATGTGGGTACCGCTTCCAAGACGAAGTCTGGAGCCAAAGCCGGTGAACTGCCGCCCGAAAACTGTTGCGTCTCGAGGCGAAGGGCGATTTCAGAAAGCCCGAAAAGCAACAGCGCCCACCACATGAGCCAAGAGCATGCCAAGAGTTGTGGGGGGCCGCTTTAAAAATTCGGGTTGAGTCCAAAGTCTCTCTCTGTCTCTATAAATATTCCATCCAGAGATTGTTGGGATCTTTTTCCGCCGCCGCGACACCTAACTTTTCTGAAGTTCCCATTTCCCGAAGGATCCGTGATGCTTTTGAGGCTCCGTCACCAGCGACCTCGGTGCGCCCAGAGGGAGGACGTTCTTATCTCATTCATTCTGCCAACAACTGTCCCGAAGAGAGACCCCAACACAGTGTTACAGTAGGAGAACGAACGCCGACCTTTTTTCGTGTGACCACACTGTTTGGAGTTCAGAACGATCAGTGGATCAACGAACGGGGTGTTTGGCGGGTCCATTGGACCCGTGAAGGAATGGTTTGTGACTGGACAGCCGGCTCCGTCGAGGTCTCTTGAGAGGCGAACACGGGAGATCTCGATGCCAAAAAGGACGCCCCGTCGATGCTTTGAAGGTCTAGGGCCTAGGGGAAATACAATACAATCAACCAAGTTTGCCCTGGCGAGGTACGACAACCTGTGCATGCTCCTGGCAAGGCATGGACCTGCATACGGGAGGGCTTGTCAAACTTCCTCATCCCAAATATGATAGTTTCTTAGCACCCTGTGTGATAAAGCAGAGACCAGGGAGCTTCTCTAGGACAGAAAGGAGTGAACAATCAGCCACCCAGGTGAGGCGAATTGTCTGGTTGAAGAAGGTTTTGAGACTCTGACCGGTGAACTGGGCTGAAAATCACCAGGAAAGACTCTGAAAGATGAAAGACCCTTGGAGCCTCAGCGTTTTCACCTCAGGTGATCTCCGGTGAGCCACTTTGGCAGCAAGTCTTTGAACGATTCTTCGGCGCCGAGGCGTGTCCGGTCCGGGTGAATGGCGTGCGCCGCGGGCCTCGACTGGGGCCCAGGTCAAGCCAGGATTGCGCGTCCTCCAAGCGAGCCATTGCGTCATTCGAAGGAAATACATTTTTTGAAGGGGTTCTATAGCATCACTGAACTTTGATATACTTTGATCAAGTCTTCAACGAGAAAACGCTATAAATTAGTTGTCCCTCTTGCTGTTCAGGTGTCAAGGTGAGTGTGTGCGCTGTGGTTTTGGAAGCCGGAGGCCCTGAGAGTGACGCAAGCTGGAAGTCTTGGGCCTTAGACCGGGCTGAGGCGCAAGGAAACGAAGGGACCGGCGGGTTACACCTCCGAGAGGTCCACCGAGGGACCGAGGATCACCGGGTGTTCCAAGTCGTGCAGCTTCGAAGTCTTCAGAGTTCAGTGACAACTGCGAATGAGTTTGCCAGGACCAACTTGGGGTGCCGAACTTGGAGGGTAGAGGTGAAACTCAAAACCACTCCTTTGGAACTGCCAAAAGGCGAATTTGGACTTAGCATGTGAGATCCACATCCCTTCACCTATACTCCTTGACATATTCATGGAAGTGGAGTTCACCACCTTCCGAGAGATCTTTCTAAAAATCTACCAGGTGACTCTGCTATCATTGTGATGATCTCATCATTTGACAGTGACTTTCATTTGGAAGACATGTCCCAGAGACTCACAGTTTTTCGCGTGACAGTGCAGCTCATGGTGAAAAGGCCTTCCCCTTTCGAAGAGGTGAAGTCTCACAAGCCATGCTGACTTGCAACCAAATCGTGCTTTCAGCCCTGCAAGCTTACTCCTACTTTCTCCTACTTGTAGGGTCTCAGGACATGCTTGAATGCCGGCTACTCGCTCCAAAGTGATTGAGCACGGTCCAAGCAGTCTCTACATGAGTGGCCAGATGCACCAGAACGATAGTGAATGACTTGCCATACAGAAAGAAGAGTTGCTTCTTCTTCACCAGCTAGGTCCACCGACCTTCACACCCTGGCTCCTTGTGGATCTTCTAGTCGCTTCTTTCGCGATGAGGCAGAGAACGCCTAGTCAGCAAGGCCGGTGGTTTCTGGGAGTGACACTTATGCTTTTTGGGGGTGGGGGTCATGCAACCGAAGATGAACATGATCAGTTCCTGCGGGCTGCAAAGCCCTGGCAGTGTGGGTGCCCGGGATTTTATTTATAGGGTCGTGTGGTTCTCTCTTTGTCTCATTCTTGGTGGAGAGAGATGGCTTTGAATCAACAATGGTGCCATTTCTTCAAAGAATGGAGAGATTTCCCAGTGCTGACATTGTTCACTCAGGTGACTTAGGTGTAAATGTTAGCCTTCCAGTGCTCGCTCCCGAAAAGAAAGGTAGGGACTGAACCCTCTTTGTCACCGGGTACCGAACCGACATTGAAACGAGGTGGTGATTCGACACATCATGAGAAATTCTGAAGGACAGTCGTGCGTGAAAGCATGGACAGATTTGTCAGCATGGTTTGACAGATGGTTTTGTGTTACTGGATGACTCCATGACTCCATCGAGAACCCCTACTAGAAGGAAAGGCACTACTGTGAAGCCCATTGGTTGGGGTGCTCCCACCAGTTGGTCTTAGACTTGAGCTTTCTTTGAATCCATCTTGGTTCAATTAGAACCTCCTCAAGCGCCGCAATCGCCACTCCAAATGGCACCACGAGTGGCACAGTGGCTGGCACCGTGGCTCTTTCTGCTGCCGGGGCTTGCAGAAGTTGAGCGGCCAGAGGGCAGCTTGATTAGCAGCACATGGCATAGGTTTATGATCTATATATATATATATATATGTCTTCAAGTCGTTGAGGGAGGCCACCCAACAAGTGGGTTTGTCATGTGTTGGGTCTTCCCCCATATTTGGATACATTTTGTATTGTCTCAGTAGTTTCTAGTGGCTTTTCATGACCTTTCTGAGTATATTACGGGTGAAATTCTCTCTGTCCAAACTTGGTGGAATTCCAACGACAAGAAAGAACATATGTCCCGTTCCTGATCGTGAAATAGCCCAGTGAGTTCACCCAGCAACTCTGCAGAGTATCCACGCGCAGAACCCTCCAATAGCCGCATGATCATAATCTGCAATCCTCCAATTCGTGTGCGAATCCACTTTGGTGATCTGAATCGTCTTCGGAGGCCTGCCACTGACGAAGATTTCATGAATCTTGATCAGCGGATCGAAAAGGCTGCCACGATGTACCGTCATTCTCGTATGCATCCTGCCGTTTCTCGAAATGAAGCCCCTGATGTCGTCCAGCGGAGCATCCCTGGAACAGAATGGAGCAAGGCGTGGTTTCTCGGGCACGAAGCTACCTGGCCCAGTGGGTCAACGCACCAGTTTAACCAGTTCTTTAGTAACGCACCGGTTCAACCGGTGCTTTAGCAAAACGGGAGCTGGAAGCTTGAAAAGGCCGTGAAAAACCCGTGAAAAGCACGTGAAGAACCCGTGAAAACGGGGTGAAAGGCCGTGAACAACCTGTGAAAATGAGGTCTTGGAAGTTGGGAGGTGAAATGTGTCCTTTACGCGAACGCACCAGTTTAACCCGTCCTTTGGACTTGCTGGGTGGGATAACTTGGGATGAAGCACAATCTCGGCGACTGGAACAGCCTAAAGGCTATCATGCCATGTAATCTCCCTGCTTTGATTTTTGATCTTGATTACATAAATCATGCGACCCAGAGAGAGAGAGAGAGAGAGAGAGAGCGAGGGAAGGAGGGAGGGAGGGAGCGAGGGAGGGAGGGAGCGAGGGAGCGAGGGAGCGAGGGAGCGAGATAGAGAGAGAGAGAGAGAACAGCATGCACGAAAGCCTCCAGAGTGTTTAACTTAGCTACTTGCACAGTGTTTGACTTAGCTACTTGGCTCCATGCAGGCAGATTGACCACCCCTTGTTGCAGTGTTTCAAAACCACGTCTCACAATCCGAAGGTGGCACTCTCAAGTTTGTCCAAATGGAATATGGACAAACAAATCACATCAAATCACCATCATTTATGCTCCAAGCCAGCGTGGCCGAACCGCTTCATGTGGAGCCATCAAGGCGTTGATCGCTTCTTAAGCCTCTTCAGAAAAAGCGAACTGGGCAGATCCTCACCTGCAACCTTCACAAGCCATGAATCATCTCCTGGTCATGTTCCACCTGATATAAACTCAAGTGAGTGAGGGAGACCTCCCAGTTCAACCCCCCGGAAGAATGGACACAGAGCAACATCCATTTGTTGGGGGTCTCCAGATTATAATGCACATCCAAATCTACAGCATGGTTGATCACCTGATCCTACAACTGATGTTCGTGTCAGAACACATCCGGTTCCGGCCAAACTCCTCCGATGCCCACTAACGTCGTTTTACTTCGGATTTTCCCCATGGGCCGCCGAACCACACTGAGGTCCTGAACGAAGTGGGTCTTCGAACCAGTTCAATAGGAAGTTCATGCTATAGGTGAGTTTTTCAGCCATGACCCTGAGTGGTTCGGTTGAAAGGTTCGGATCCGAAGGCCTTCAGAGCTGAATGGTCAGCAAGAGCTCTTACCTTTGGACAAGAATCCCGCCTTTGCATTCCAGACCTTCAAGCTCTTGTGAAGACATGTTGCTTTGTGAAGACAGGACCTTGGTAGGCACTCCAAGCTCACCCCGCATTCATTCCATTGAATGCTTCGTGGACACTTTCATCTTGAGGTGTACAAAAACTCCGAGCTGGCAGACTCCCGTGACACTGGATGGACTCTCTTGCAGTCAAAGACTCCTTCATTCTCAAGATTCAATCCCGACATTTTGGCCTCCTGAACGAGCGATGAACAAGACAGACAGTCGTAGCCATCTAGGCCCAAAGCCGAGTGGCTGAAGGTGTAGGGCCACCTAGGGGTGCTTGCCACCCTCGAAAGGTGGGTGCATCGTCCATCAAGCAGGACCGCCAACGGACTTGCAGCCCTGTCTTTGTGGAGTGTGCCGTGGTTCTGACTTTGTTGTGGTCTGGTGGCATTATGGGCTCACGATTGATAGAGATGATTAGATCTAAGATTGATGATCCCTGGAAGCATAGCCTTGAGGAGCTTTTCATTTCCTTTGGTAGTGCTGGCCCCTTTGTTCGCATTGCTGGGAAAGTGCTTTTTCAGGGAGAAGTGCGTGACGTTTCAGGATCATCGTTGTGGGTGCGGCCCAGAAGCTTTTCCCCAGGGAAGGGTTTTGGTTTCTCAGGAGAGGGAACTTGGGAGATCGTGGTGCCGGATTTGAGCTCTCGAGACTGGCATTTTCAACAAGGGGATGTTGTGACTTTCTTTGGAGGTTTAGTTCAGACTTACCCCAACCGATTCGACATGACGAAAGACACGATCATTGCGAATGTTCCAGTTTGGGAGCCGCGGAGTCCGATCTCAGCGATCCACATGTTTTCTGGATCTTTCTGCGGGTGGTCACAAGCGCTTGAGGCGATCTGTAGATTTGAGCCTTTTCACGATGTTGCTCAGCAATTCTATGTTGACAGTGATCCCCGTACCATGCAGAATTGGGCCAACCAGTTTGAGAAGCCAGTGCATTTCGGATCGACTGCACCTGAGCACCCCTGGTGCCCCAGCTCACATGTAGGACTATGTGCTCCAGTGAATGACTGCAGTTTGTGCCATCAGATTCGAGTCCGCTCCAATCTTGTCGGAACAGCGTCTCCCCCTTGTGTGACATGGAGTAAGGGAGGTAAGGCTCAAGGCCTCAATTCCTCAGCGGGGTACTCGTTCATCGAAGCTGTTGTCCTTACTGTTATCCTGCAGCCCAATCTCCAAGTCTATGAATGCGCAGACGAGATCGTGAAGCACCCACACTTTGGACTTGTCTCCCATTTGCTGAAACTTTGTGGTTTTCGTAGGATCTGGCAACAGGTGGTTGAATATCATCCGATGTCCCACAACATGAGGAGTCGATGGGTGTCTGCATGGGCCCGACTTGATATGAACCCTGCATCTATTGTAGAACAATTCCAATTGAAAGCCTTGCAAGTGTGCCAATGGTCATCCAGTCTGTATGACTTCCCCCTCCCTCAGGATGTTCGAGAAAGCTTGCTTCTTTCCGAAGAGCTGCAACGATTGTATGGCAATCGTGGTTTGCTCCCGCCAGCCAAGAAGGCCAGGGTAGCGTCAGATGCAGTGATCGACTCGGTTTTGAGGGAACGTGTTGTCAACCCGATGGACCCACTCCCCACCATTTGTGCTTCATACGGCCATCAACATGAGCTTGCCTCACACCATGTCGCTCAAAGAGGCCTTTTTGCGTTCTTTTCTTCAGGACCTGATGGATTCCAATGGATTGAACCTACTCGTATTGTTGCTTTGTTGGGGGGCCAAACCAGGGTCTCAGTTGAGTATCAGCCGGTTGATGCATACCATGTCCTTGGTAATGCCATTGCAGTTCCTCAAGCTGCTCTCGCCATTTTGGTAGGATTGCAGGCTATCCATGTTGAGACCATCCCAATTCTTCAGATTGTTCATGACATTTGGTCAAGCCGCCTTACGTCACATAATGCTCTTGTGCAGATTGAGGGAAATTTTTTGACAATTTCCAAGGCTGCCTTTGCTTTTGAACGCATTCCTTTCCGGAGCCCCATGGGAGAGTCGTCTGCCATGAAGTGTGTGATCACCAATTGTCAGGGTGCACATGGCATTGAGGGTTCTTGTGACCCCACATGGTCGGTTCATGACCTGCTTCGATCCTGCATCGAACTTGACCAGTATGCCTTGACGCAAGTCACCCTGAGGCATGGCATGGTTGTCGCCTCTAGGGTTGAACAGATCTCTGATTTGGTCATCATCTCGAAAAAGTGGGAAGTCTATGCAGCTTCGGTCAAGGTTGCGCATATTAGCTTCGATGAGGGTGAGAAACCTGATGCCTCAGACATCTCACCAACACAGCTGTACGTGCCCTCCGCAGTGATTGAAACTATTGAGATCCCTACCACGGCTGGAGACATGATCACACAATCTGAGGCCTTTGTTCGAGTTCACCGCTTCTTTGCAGAGGCATTAGGTGCACACATTTTCGATGGAGAAGGCCCTTCTGATCCGGTGGTTTTGGTCTGGACTGAACCTGCAACCTCAATCCTTGCTCGAGTGTATGATCAGCGCAATCTGGAGAGCGTTCGGGAATTCCTTCGAGAACGTGGTTTTCATGAATGGTCCCTCAAGTGCCTGTCTGGCCACTCCGTGCGCTTCCCAGGACATGAATGGTGGGTCTTTCTCCCAGCCATTCCCGAGGACGCCATAGTTGTCATTGAGAATCTCTCCAAACATGTCGAATTCCATGTCCGACCGCTACGAGGCCTTGTTGACCACACCACGAGGGTTGTCATCCAAGGGGAGGACTTCATGATTCAGAGGGTCAATGGTCATTCACTTGAATTCCCCAGAATCCATGAGTGTGAAGATGGGGACATCCTTTCGGTCGTCCATCGAGATCGAGATCTGTGCGCTCTGATCAATTCAGGCCATGTGTATGCAGGAGGCCATCCCCAAGCTGAAGACGAGGTTTGGCACTTACGGCAGGGAGCAAACTTTTCTGAAAGATGCCACTTCTGCAACAGCACAGAAGGTTGCTGTGCTTCTGATGAACTACAGTATGCGATGGACTGGCTCTTGAAACTCCATCCACAACATTGCAGTGTTTTTGCGATTCTCCTTTGGGATGGAGTTGAGACGGAATTTGATGAGAGCCATTTTCACTTTCCTGAAGTCCCAATTGAGGCTACCACCTGGCTT